AGTTTTTCCCACTTATTCTGAAAAACTGTAGTGTCAGCAATACAAGTTTGGCTTGGCAGCTCTGAGCAAAGAGAATAGTTTACAACAAGTCTTCTTTGATTTCTTTTAAATTAAGTAGATTTGCATTTCTAATTCATATGTTCTTGGGCTCATTTTTTTTAGTGACAAAGATTCTGAGCACTCCATTAATGGAATGTTTGACTAGAAATTGAACAGATTTAAAGTATTTTCTTTTTCCTTTTGTCTTCACTGACTTCATTCCTGATGTGCATTTTGTAGGAAAAAAAAAAGTAGCTAAAAACAAACATCTGCTCTTAACCCAGAAAGTATTTTTACAAAAATCCAAGCGAAAGACTTGCTCAAGGGCATGCCACTAATGAGATTGCAAAAATAGAGTGGAGCCACAACAGTTTTGCAGCTAAATGGATACATCACATTATGCTTTAATGATAATATTGTTAATTTCATGATAAATTGTTAATTTCTAGATACAATGTCTTTATGGTTGGAGCTGGGGCCACCTGAGGGGATGCTAATCTCCTTCAAAAACAAGAAAGTAGGGGAGATCTCCCTGAAGCTACTCTTCAAAGGTGGGGCTGCCAGACTGGGAGACAGTTTAGATTTACATACTTTTGCAAAGAGAAATTTACAATTATAAGGTATCTGGAGTGAATTCTGTAGACTCTGGGGTGTGTGTGTGTGGGGGGGGGGAGTAACCCTCTACCTGCTTTCACCGGTACATTTAAACTCAATTAAATTTGCATATGATTTATGGGGTGGAATCTGCCTCCCTCACCTCTGTATGTGTGTGTGTGTGTGTGTGTATACCCCTCATCTGGTCACTAAATTAATATCTTTAATTGAAAGACTAAATTGGTATTTGTGTGATGCCTTAATTATTTAGAGAAAATAATTTCAAAATAGTAGTGTTTTGCTATTTGGGAGATGGTCAGAAATTTGAACACTGATTAATATTTTAAGGAATGTTGTTGTTAAGTGCTGTAGAGTCGGTTCCGACTCAGCGACCCTCTTTAGGGTTTCCAAGAAGCAGCTGGTTTGAAACACTAACCTTGGGGTTCAAATCAACCTTGCAGTCCAGTGCATTAGCTCAGACGTCCATACCAGGACTCCCATGTTTTAAGGGATGGTTAGTATTTTTTTTTTCAATGTGATCATGGTGATGTGGTTTTATTTTAAAAGTGGCATGTTATGAAATAGTTACTTTAGAGATGATACCATGTTTGGTTTGGGTTGCCCTCATGTGGGTTTCCCTAGAGACCCCTGTGACAGGGAACTGCCCCAGCGGGGGTGGGGTGGGGGGGTTCAGGCTATAATCCAATTGAGCCAACTACTGATTTAGAGATTAGCAGACAAATTGTACTGCTTTGTTGTTGTTAAATGCCTTCGAGTCTTTTCCCATTCATAGCAACCCTCTATAGGGTTTCCAAAGAGAGGCTGGTGATCTTGAACCACTGACCTTGTGGTCTCGTGCATTATATTGCAGAGCCACACCAGTACTCCATGTGGTGCGTGTGGTGATGGTGGTGGCGTGCCATGGAGTCGGTTCTGACTCATAGCCAATCTGCATACGGTTTCCGAGGCTGTAAATCTTTATGGGAGCAGAAAGCCCCATCTTTCTCCCACAGAATGGCTGGTGGTTTCACACTGCTGACCTTGAGGTTAGCAGCCCCAACGCCTAACCATTATGCTACCAGAGCTCCTTATGTGGTGTATGTTGTTGTTAAGCGCCATCCAGTCGTTCCAACTCATAGAAACCCTAGATAGGATTTCCAAGGAGCAACTGGTGGATTTGAACCACCAACATTTCGCCTCAAACTGACATTGCAGTCCAGCGTATTACCTGGCCACACGAGAACTCCATATGGTGAATTGTTATTAAGTGCCATCTAGTTGGTTCCAACCCTTAGCGACCCTGTTTAGGGGTTTCCAAGGAGCAGCTGGTATGCTTGAAATGTCAACTTTGCAGTTCAAATGAACTTTGCATTCCAGTGCATTAACCTACAGCACCACACACTCAGGACTTCCAAATATATAGGGGGAGCTGTTGCTTCTGATTAAAGATAGTCTGTATTATGTAACTGATGTCATTTAATTAATATAATTGATATCGATAAGTTGCACAGCGGTATTAGGTCCGAGAGTGTTACAGCAACTTTAGATCAGTTGCTGAAGAAACCGAGCCACTGGGAGAGGTGAAGCAGAGTTTCAGATTTTATTAAACTGGCTGGCTCAGAGGAGCTAAATTCTCCAGATTCTGAGCCCGGAGTGCAGGTCAGTCCAGGCTTATATGGTATCAAAATTGGGGAGGATCCAGGTTGCAGACCTTTTTGGAAGACAGGAAGGAAACCAGAAGATTGGTTCTTCTCTGCTCCATAACCTGATTAACATTCTCTCTGGTCTCCTGGGAGAGGGAAGGCAGTAAATTAATGTTTCACCTTTTCCTGTTCATTATCAAAAGTTGTGATGTATTTAAACAAAGAGCAACTCCTGAAGCTGCTTATGCAAAAACATCTCATGGGATTTGATTCCTTGGTTTGAAGGTTTAGGAGTAAGAATTTTATGGGCAGGAGCAGATTACCCAATGAAAATGGGTTTCATGTGCTTACTCACTAATCTGTATTGTTGTGAAAATTTTCACATGGTTTTCACCACATCTTTTAGCGAGTGCTGTGTTAGGTGCCATCGAGTCGGTTCCAACTCAGAGGAACTCACAGCACAGCAGAAGGAAACATTGTCCAGTCCTGCGCTGTCCTCACACTTATTTAGCTGGAGTCCATTGTTGTCAATGTGCCAGTCCATCTCGTTGGGGGTCTTCCTCTTTTTCACTGAACCTCCACTTTACCAAGTATTGATGTCCTTCTCCAGGGACTGGTCCCTCCTGATTATATGTCCAAAGTATGAGACACAAAGTCTGGCCATCCCGGATTCTAAGGAACATTCTAGCTGTATTTCTTTCATCACAGATTGGTTTGTTCTTCTGGCAGTCCATGGTACTTTCAATATTGTTCTCCAGCACCACAACTCAAATGCATGAATTCTTCCACAGTCTTCTTATTCATTGGCTTGTCTAACTTTCTGTTATTGTTAATACCATTGGTTTGGTTAGGGGCACTTCAGTCCTCAAACTGACATCTTTGCTCTTGAACACTTTAAAGGGGTCTTGTGCAGCAGATTTGTCCAGTGCAGTATGTCCTTTGGTTTCTTGACTGATGCATCCATGAGTGTTAATGGATCCAAGCAAAATGAAGTCTTTAACACTTCAGTCTGTTTTTTGGGTTTTTTTTTTTTTCATTTATCTTTATGTTACTTACCGGTCTGTGGTGAGGATTTTTGTTTTCTTTATATTAAGGTGCTATTCATCCTGAAGGCTGTGGTCTTGGACCTTTAAACCACACACACACACACACACACACACACACACACACACACACACACACACACACAGAGAGAAACACAAACGCACTGCCTTCAAGTCAATTCCCACTCATAGTTACCCCATATAGGATTTCCAAGGCTACAAATCTTTACGGGAACAGAAAGCCACATCTTTCTTCCACGGAGCAGCTGTTGGGTTTTAACTGCTAACCGTGTAACCGTGTAGTTATTCAGTTCAATGCTAATCCTACAGCACCACACCAGGACTCCTTCATCTATATATGTTGTATGTTGTTGTTGTTAAGTGCTGTGGATTGATTCCAACCCATAGCTACCCTGTATAGGGTTTCCAAGGAGCAGCTGGTGAGCTTGAACCACCAACCTTGTGGTTCAAACTGACTTTGCAGTCCAGCACATTAACCCACAGCACCACACCAGGACTCCATCTGTATATAGGATCAAACTGACAACAGCAAGTTTAGATAGGAGACTTACTGGGCATGGAGTTTAGGTTAACGGGGGAGAAGCCACTTGGGAAAGGAGAGTGATCTGACGGTACACTTAAAGATGGAATCATATCTATAGGAATCGTTGAATTGATGTAGGCTCAGCTGTGTGTACCCTTAACAACAGCAAAAACAAAAGGTAAATAAATGACACACTCCTCACTTAACAACATACTAGGCTTCAAAGACCAGGACGTTTTTATGTGAAAATGGATACTCACCTGAGATCAGAAAACAAAAGATGACTCCAACCTTACAGAACTTACAGATCACATCATCACATAACTGAAAACAGTGCCCCACCAAGCTGACACATGACCATAACTACCCTAGCCAGCATTGCTCTCATTCTAATCTTGGTTTGTTATGGCCAGGGTTCATCATTAATGCACAAGATAGTCGAGTGCAGTTTTTACTATTGTTGTAAACGCAAAATGTTGGATAACAGGACAGTTGATACTTGGAGAAGGAGTGGCTGTGTGTAGAAGTCTCTGTATAAAGCAGACCTGTTGCCATCAATCAGTTGTAACCCATAGCAACCCCATGAAGGGACTTTAAGAAGTTCCTGGGGAAACTCTATTACCTTTAATTCCATTCTTGTATGAACTTTTTGAAGCCCCATTTGGGGGACAGAGTAGAACTTCTCCGGGTTTCTAAGGCAGAAATCTTTACAAAAGCAGATTGTCTCATCTTTCTCCCCCCCAATGACTTGTGTGTGTGAAACCTTTTGGTTTCCAGCTGAGTGCTTTAACCACCGTGCCACCTGGGCAGTCCTATGTATGTAGTTAGAAGGAGTAAATGGGATCATAGCTGAGGCAGCGTTAACATGGGTGATTCTGGCTAAACTGGGTGACGGAATATGGTGCGTTTTTTTGCTTTTGTTTTTCTGTTGTGTGTTTTGATGTAAGCTCAAACTTCTGGGAGTTGTGCAGAAACAGCCTTGTTGACTCTAACTCCTTTCCTTTTCTTTTAACGTTTTATTAGTAATTTAGTGAAGGTTAACAAACAAAATCATCCGCTTTGTTTCATCTCAGTGATTACAATCCCCTCCCTGCACCAACATCCTTTCCTTTCTTTTCTCTTTTTTATGTGTTTTAGATGCCAGACCAGTTTGACCAGGTGGTTGTACTCAACCAGCTGCGATACTCCGGGGTGCTGGAGACAGTGAAGATCCGGAAAGCTGGGTACGCTGTCCGAAGACCCTTTCAGGATTTCTACAAAAGGCAAGTGGAAAGAAACAGAGTGGATCCTCGCTCTGTATGAGGGGAATCTGGGCAACAGGAAGTCCCAGTGTGACACCGTTGTGTGCTGGTGGTGTTGCAGGTATAAAATGCTGATGCGGAACCTGAGTCCACCTGAGGACGTGAGAGGGAAATGTAGTGTTCTCCTGCAGTTCTACGACACTTCCAACAGCGAATGGCAGCTGGGAAAGACCAAGGTAACACTTCCGGGAAGATCCCAGCAAACACCGCTGTGTGTTTGTAACATGGAAGATTGTCATGTTGTCATGCCAATCTGTGGTCTTCTAAGCAGTTACTGTTTTATTTGACACCCTTGAGGTTTGCTAGGGGACAGAAGTAGTTCCTGTCTTATGACCGGCTTTTTATTCCCATGTATGTCAGTTCTGACATAAGGCAGATACCTTTTGTTTTGTTTTCATTTTTGTTATCTTCTTAGTCTGTGAGTGTTGGAAACATGACATATAGATGGGCAGATATGATGGCATTGGCCAGTTGCACGCCACACTGTTGTATGTGGTGTATGTTACTTACTAGCAATAAGTTATTAACAAACACGAACCGAGTACTCAGGAGTGTGGTTTGTCGTAACTCGAATACGTTGTCAGTTGGGGGCCTCCTGTTTCCAATCTCAGTGTTTCTGTGTGTTGTCACCTGGGCAGTCAGTTGTTGTTGTTGTTGTTGTTAAGTGCAATCGAGTCAGTTCCGACCCATAGTGACCCTGTACAGGGTTTCCGAGGCTGTAAATCTTTATGGGAGTAGAAAGCCTCATCCTGTCTGTCACGGAGCCGCTGGTAGATTTGAACTGCTGATCTTAAGGTTCACAGCCCGATTCATAACCACTAGGGTGGAATAACGTAGTGCCACGGAAGTGCTGAGCAGTTTGCAAAGTCCACAGAGCGAGACCCCAGGACCTTGTACTAGCTGCCACCAACTTGACTCCAATTCATGACCAGTGTCCCTTGTGTGCATGTCTGAGGAGAACTGTGCTTCACTAGGTTTTCGTTGTTGTTTTTCAGAAATAGGTTACCAGGCCTTTCTTCCGAGGCTCCTCTGTATACACTTAACCTTTCAGTTAGCAGCTGAATATACTAATAGCCATTTCAGCACCCAGGGACTCAGATCTTTCTTACCTTTTCATGTGGAGACAGAAGCTGTTGTCTCCACATACACTAGCCAGCCTGAAAGATCACTAAAGTCCCAATCCACCCATTGTCAGTGTAGCTGAGTTCCTTAACCAGGGTCCCTTATTCCAGATGGAGGAAAAGAGGCCTCAACACCAGAAAGTGGCCCTAAGATTGGTTAATGATGTCATTCTTATGTCCAAGGACAGAGCCTGTGCGGATTGGGCTTTTTGCTCCCAGTTCTCTCCCTACCGATATTTTATCCCGAGGGAAAGATGGAGCTGTATACGACACAGAAATGCAGACAGCTGGGAGGAGACCTCTGAATACATGTACATCCCCAAAAATAAGAACTGCTCCTCAAGACTTGAGTTTCGTGACCCTCCATGTTGTGGGGCAAAGTCTAGACTGTGTATGTTTCTGCTCATGTGATGCGGTTTCTTTTGAGAACATTGCCAAGTATTTAGGCATCACTTTGAGGCCACGCAAGGAAAAGGGCATGGTGGATGTGTGTGTTTAATAGGTGGAGATGTGGTACACTGAGCTACGGATTAGCTATCTCTTGTTGTGTAGCAACTGTGGCCCCTAACTTGCTGGTTTTAAGCAACACGTTTTTATCTAGACATAGTTTCCAAGGGTCAGGAGTCTGGGTGCATCTTCAGTGGGCCCTCTGTGCAGTGTCTCACCAGGCAACTGCCCGCCAGAATGTGTTTCTGCCTTGGGCTCGGGGTCCTTTTCCAGCACGGTTGTTGGTAGAATCCAGCTTCTTGTGACTTGTAGGACTGAGGTTCCCAAGTTCTTGTTGATAGTCAGTTAGAGGTTGCTCTCAGCCCTTTAGAAGCGGCTCACTGTTCCTGCTCACTGGTCCTCTCGTAGCAGGACAGCTTGTGTCTCCAGGGTCAGTAGGTGAATCTCTCCTTCTGTTTTATGGAATCATGGGAGTAACTGACCATCACTGTTGACAAAGTCTGTTAGCTAGGAGTAAGCCCTGGGTTCCTCCCCCATTCATAGTGGACGGCATAACTCACGGGGTCACCGAGGGTGGTCTGCCATAGATGCAGTTGCCTGGAATTTTACTCCCTGCTCCTTATTTGGCCTTATTTCCTCCTTCAGACATTGCTTTAGACAGAAATTTTGACAGGAAACCTATTTGGCACCCTGGGTGGAGCCCTGGTTGTTGCCTGTTGATCTCCTCATTGTCACCCAATATAGAGTGTAGTGTTCCTGGTTCATAGGCCTCCCACCTTCTTCAGGAATGCATGCCCATCCTCATAGATAGTAATCACTGCCTTGGTGTTGTGATCCAGTCAGTCCCGACTCATACCAACCTTGAGGTTCAAGCCAACCTTTGGGTCCAGTGCATTATCCTGCAGTGCTACCCCGAGTCCAGTTACCCCCTTATGAGGATTAAATAACAGAACCCCAACAGTACAGTGTGCAGTGCTCCGCTGAGAAAGCGACAGGCTGGCAGTTTGAAACCCCATCCAGTGGTTCAGTGAAGCCCCAACAATCTGCTTCCACCAAGATTGCATCAGGAGAGCTCTCATTCGGTCCTGGCGAGAAGATGCTACACCTGAATTCAGGACATTCTGGCTCCAACGCCGCAACGCCGCACCCAAAAGTGAAGCTGCTCATTCCTCAGCCAATAACAATCTGCTTACTGAGCTCCAAAGAACCAACACTCTTTACTGCTCAAATTATGAAAACGAGGCCCAGGGAAGGCTTGAGACCTGGGTAGGATGAGTCCCTGGGAGGCACAAATGGGTGGTGTGCTCAGCTGTGGACTTTGTCTACACAGAGGTGCCTTGGAAGAAATGCGTGGCGATCTGCTTCCAAACAATCAGCCATTGAAAACCCTTTGGCGCACACTTCTGCTCTGACCCACATGGAGCCAACCATGAGTCAGTGTCACCTCCAGGGCAGCTAGTTGTTTGTTTGTTTGTTTATTATGATGGTTACATAGAAATAAAGACATAAACGTTGTCTCATTTAACTGTGGTGTGGAAAAGCAAGCTGTGAGCATAGGATTGTCACACAGATCCATTTAATCTCTGAGAATGAGGAGGCCTCCACTTCCGAGAGAGATTGCCGTGGATTGAGTTAGGGTTAAATGCGGTGGAGTCTGTTCCGGCCCATAGCAACCCTGTATAGGGTTTTCAAGGAGCAGCTGGGTGGGTTTGAACTGCAGACCTTGTGATGGCAGTCCAGTGTTTATCCTAAAGCACCACACCAGGACTCCATAGATTGAGATGAGCAGGGAAGTATTTAAGAAGAGAAAATCTGCTTTTAAAAAGTGGTAACCTTTAACTGGTGAGGAGTTGGACATAGAAGTCCATAAACACTGAATCCTCCACAGAAACCATTAGAATATAAATGTTATATTAATGTAAACATTAAAGCATTTCCAATGTTGTTCTGGAGGCCACTGAGTCATTTAGGCTCATAACAACCCCATGTGACAGAGCAGACATGCCCCATAGGGTTTCCTTGGCTGCCATCTTCGTGGATAAAAATCACCAGACCTTTCTCCCGCGGAACAATTGGGAGGGTTACAACAACCATCCTCTGTGTGCAGCTGAGCACTTAACTGCTGCACCACCAGGGCTGTGAACCTCAAGGTCGACAGTTTAAACTCACCAGTGGCACCTGGGAAACCCTATACAGGATTGCTGTGAGTTGGAACCGACTCAACGGCACTTAAAAACAATTCAGATCTTCTGTGTTAGCTGAACTGGCATCGACCTTATTCGAATTTCAGAATTGCATTCTTCGTTCTTGTTGCTGTAACATTGTATTATGGTTTGGGCGAAAGCTTACCGAATTACATTCTTAATTCCAATTTCTAGATGTGCGTTTAAGGTTTTAGAGCCAAGATGGAAACAAAAAATAGCCATAATCAATCAACAGACACCAAGAGGAAGACTTCCACATTTTAGACACATTTTAGACACTCTGTGGATTTCTCTCATTTTTGCTTCCTATTCAGACTCCTCATGTGGCCCTGAACATGAGCATTTGGGAACTTTCATAGAAATTTTAGTATTGTTTTTTGTCTGTAGAACCCAATAACAATAAAAAGTAGTATGTTTTTATTGTTCGTTACAAATGTGATTCTCATCTTCACAGATGAGACATTTTTAAACCCAAACAGCTGGTTTTTTACTTAAGTGAGTTTGAGAAGCATATTCTAGGAAGATGGCTATGTGTGTTGGGTGCAAATTTAGGAGTGCAGTACACACACACACACACACACAGCCCTCCTCTGAGCAGCCGGGCCCTCTGGTTCTCACCGTGGCCTTCTCCTTAGGTCTTCCTTCGCGAGTCCTTGGAGCAGAAGTTGGAGAAGCAGCGGGAGGAGGAGGTGACCAGGGCGGCTATGGTGATCCGAGCGCACTTCTTGGGCTACCTAGCGCGGTAAGACCCACAGCGGGCCCTCGAGGTGTCTCTGTCCTCTCTGAGTGTCTCCATGGGGCAGCATGAACCATGTACGTCCCATTCAGAGCAGGTGGTGGCCCCACCAGGCCTAGCTGGTGCCCAGTCAGCATGCGCTGGGTGAAGGTAGGAGGGGACGAGTCCATGTGTACCGTCTCACTTGGAACAATGACATTAGAGGACTCTGCTGAGAGGTTGAATTTGTTGGCCTAGTCCCTCTGCCTCGCTTGTGGAAGCCCACAGCCGCCCAACTTTGAGTATCTATCTCATTGAGTCCCCAGAGCCCATCACCCTATGTTTGCAGGAAGAGGCATTTTCTCAATACAGACATTTACGTTCTGGGGTCTGGGTTTTCTTATATATGTGGGAAAGTGGAATTAAAAGATTGTGGAATTTTTCCATACACTGGCCATCACCATAGATTGGCATGGATTCCATCCTAATTTAGGACTGCCCCATGTGTGTCAGAGTAGACCACTGCCCAGGCCATATCCTGTGGCTGTTCTTTTGGGTGAGGAGATTGCCAGACCTTTCTTCTGAGGTACCTCTGCATGGGTCCTAAACTCCAACATTTCAGTTAGCAGCCCAGCGCATCGGCCATGCGCACTACCCCGGGCTCCACGCACATGGGAGAATTTCTTAGATCTTTTTTGGCCCTGTTTACAATCCCTCTTCCTGCCAAGGCAACTCAAAGTAAGGATTAGGAGGTTATATGTTTATTTTGCCAAAATGACGATAGGGTTCTGGCTGTTGTGTTGTATTGTTTTCTTTCCTTGAGCTTTGTTTTGACTGAGGGGCCTGCTTGTTTGCCTGCCCCTGTAGTGAGTCTGAGAACATCTGGGCACAGCTGGGCTCCTCCTCTCTTGGTTTACAGGGCTCCTGTCAGCTCATCTGTACGGCCGAAGTTTTTACCTCAAGGCTTATTTCTGATTCCTTTTTGTTTTTCTTGGTGTTATTAGAAAGCAGTACAGGAAGATCCTTTGCTGCACTGTGATCATCCAGAAGAATTTCAGAGCCTTCCTTCAGAGGAGGAGATTTTTGCTCCTGAAAAAAGCCACCATCAGTTTCCAGAAGCAGCTGAGAGGTCAGCTTGCCCGGAAAGCATACAAGCAGCTGCTTGCTGAGAAACGGAACCGGGAAGCACAACAGATGCTAGCGGAAGAACAGAGGAAACGGGAGGAGGAAGAAAGGTATCGTTCATGCGTGGCTGCCATGAACTGGACTGACACCTTAGCCCAGTGCATGGACCTGAACCTACATTCTGAAACAGTCACTCCTGGTGCCTTGAATGCGACATTGTCTTGGCAGCACTGAAGATTCAGTGTTAAGTATTTTTATATGAAGAAGCTTCAGAAAGTTTGTGGGGAAATGCCATTGTCTTTTCCTTCCGTTTTTCCACAGACATTTTGAAGCTTCCTTGTATTCATGCACGGAATCAGAACCATGCCCAAAGAATCATGCTTTGTACATTGTCTTTTGCAAAACATTTTTTTTTTAAAAAAAAAACAAAGGATCCTCTCATAAGGAGTTGTTGATTTTCACTTTCTTTACCTTTTACTGTTTTTAGAGAAAAGAAGAGCATGCACCAAGAAGTGGAGATCTGCACCCAGCAGGTAAAGGGTGCTCTGCACCTTGGTGTCTCCTTGTTCCATGTCCTGCACGCTTCAGAGTGGTAGAGTGCTTAGCATATGAAGCTAGAGCATCAAGTCCAGCCAGAGGGGTGTGGAAGAAAGGCCTGGTACTTTGTTTCTGGAAAATCAGCCTTGGAAAGCCCTGTGGCGTACAGTTCTCCTCTGACACACGTGAGGTAGCCATGAGTCGGAGTAGACTCAATGGCTGTGAGGTTCCACTTAAAAATAGAAACTATACAGGAAGGTGGTATGTAAAGAAGAGCTGTCGAGGAAATGTGAACGATGCCATTTCTGTTACTTTTCCGTTGATTTCTGGGTCCAGTAAAGCTTCATGAATCTCTGGGATTTTCATGTCGGTCACTACAGTGTGTCACACTGTGACCACATATAGTCAGAGCTTTTCCTGTGCATTGTTAAGTCCCTGGATACTCCAAAAGGTTTGCACTTGACAACTAACCAAAGGAACCTTAGTGGTGCAGTGGGTTAAGTGTTGGAGTGTAAACTGCAAGGTCAGCAATTGAAGACCAACAGCCGTACGACAGGAGAAAGATGAGTCTGTGTACTACCAAAGGAACAGTTCTGCTCTGTTCTGTAGGATTTGGTTTGACTTTTGGTTACCTAAAGGTTGGAAGTTCTAACCCACCAGCAGCACCAAGGAAGAAAAGCCTGGCAATCTTCCCTTAGAAAGCCCCACGGCACACAGTTGTACCCGGCAACACACGGCATCTCAGGGAGTTAGAAAGTCCCACGGCACACAGTTGTACCCGGCAACACACGGTATCTCAGGGAGTTAGAAAGCCCCATGGTGCACAGTTGTACCTGGCAACACACGGTGTCTCAGGGAGTTAGAAAGCCCCACGGTGCACAGTTGTACCCGGCAATACACGGCGTCTCAGGGAGTTAGAAAGCCCCACGGCTCACAGTTGTACCCAGCAACACACAGCATCTCAGGGAGTTAGAATTGATTGGATGGTGGTTTTTCTCCATTGCAAATGAGCAGTGCCAGCTTGCTTTTCTCCTTGCAGTGAAACCTTCTCAGGTCTTCCTTTGCTTTTGTGTCCAGGAGGAGGCGACCCAGAAGCAGCAGGAGCTAGGAGCCTTGCAGCCGTGCAGGGCTCTGGAGAAGGAGACGGAGAACAAACAGGTAGAAGACATCCTGCGGCTGGAGAAGGAGATTGAGGACCTGCAGCGCATGAAGGAGCAGCAGGAGCTGTCGCTGACAGAGGCCTCACTGCAGAAACTGCAGCAGCTGCGCGACGAGGAGCTCAAGCGGCTGGAAGACGAGGCCTGCCGCGCTGCCCATGAGTTCCTAGAGTCTCTCAACTTCGATGAGATCGATGAGTGTGTGCGCAACATCGAGCGCTCCCTGTCAGTGGGCAGCGGCTTCAGCGAGCTGGCGGAGAGCGCAGGTGAGGAGAAGCCCAACTTCAACTTCAGCCAGCCCTACCCGGAGGAGGAAGTGGATGAGGGCTTCGAGGCAGACGACGATGCCTTCAAGGACTCCCCCAACCCCAGTGAGCATGGCCACTCGGACCAGAGGACCAGTGGCATCCGAACCAGCGACGACTCTTCCGAGGAAGACCCCTACATGAACGAAACCGTGGTGCCCACCAGCCCCAGCGCAGACAGCACTGTGCAACTCACCCCAGCCAGCCCAGACTCCATCAGCCTGCAAAACTCATCCAGCGGGGAGTCCACCTACTGCATGCCCCAGAGTCCTGGGGACCTGCCCTCCCTGGACGGGGACTATGACTGTGACCAGGACGATTACGAAGATGGCGCCATGACCTCCGGCAGCAGCGTGACCTTCTCCAATTCCTGCAGCAGCCAGTGGTCCCCAGACTACCGCTGCTCCGTGGGAACTTACAACAGCTCCAGCGCATACCGGTTCAGCTCTGAAGGAGCCCAGTCCTCGGTGAGTACCTGGACCTTCTTGGTTGCTGTTGTTGGCCATCAAGTTGATTCTGACTGCATATCTACCAGCAGTTTTGTAGGAGTAAAGACCTAGTGATCTGCTCCAGCAAAGATTACAGTAGGAAACATTACTGGGGCAGCTCTCTTCTGACCTACGGGGTCAGAGATGTCTTAATACTATTATTTATGGAAGCGGATTGCCACACCTTCCACTGAAGCCACTGTCTGCGTTCAAAATGTCAACCTCTCTGTTAGTAGCCAATCACAGACCACTGGCACCGTCCACTAAAATGGAAACTGTCCATAGTCCATGCCTCTGTCTCCTCATCCTTCAGATTAAGTCACACCCCAAAATCATACACATTCAAAATCATAACCTTGCAGAAAATTCAGAATGCCTTTCTTTCCAACAGCTTTGGCATTGCTAAGTGGAACTTTGATCTGCCTTTTGTAGATGGAACACAAGGGACCAGAACTGAGTTTTACCTAAGACCTTGGCAACCAGGCATTTCAATACGGAATTGAGCTGTATCTTTCATAGCATTACAACAGGTTAGGAAAGGAGACACACTCAGTAATTGGAACGAGAATTGCTGAGGGCATATTGGAGAAGTTTTTTGTGGGAACTTGACACTAATCTCCAGGGTGTATGCAAGTTTCTGGATGCGTTTAGTGGACTTGTATGTTTCCTTGAGTCAAACATGAACAGCTCCCTGACTTTGTAAAGAAATCTCTGGGTGGTGAAACAGTGAACACACTTAGCTGCTAATGGAAAGATTGGCCGTTGGAACCCACTCAGAGGTCCCTCCCAAGAAAGGCCTGGTAATCCACTTCCCCCCAAAACAAGCCACTGGTAACCCCAAGGAACAGCACAGTTCTGCTCTGATCCACACGTGGCTGCCAGACTCAGAATTAATTTAGCAGCTGATTTAGTTGACTTTGTAAGTCTTGCAGATATTGTTAACACAGTAATATAAAAAGAATTAATCCTTGCTTGGTTTGATTAAAACCATACTCTTTAGCATAAGGTATGTCTTTAGTTTTACAATAGGGGCTCTTTAGCTCTCAGTCTATCAATTCAACAGACCATGTGACCTTAAAAAGCTAACCGTTTGTCATTCTGGGTTCTTGTGAAAGCAGCCCACCCATTTTGCACGATTTTCAGTTGGGAGGTTGCTGCTTCTTCCGTAATTTTCACTTGTAAATGTGGACACAGGCTGAGCCGTTTCATGGCTTGCTTAATGCCCTGTTGGCTCACCCGTATTCTGTCTGTCGGTCTTGTCTTGTCCAGTTAGAAGACAGTGAAGAAGACTTCGACTCTCGGTTTGATACGGATGATGAGCTGTCTTACCGGCGGGATTCCGTATACAGTTGTGTCACGCTACCCTATTTCCACAGCTTCCTGTGCATGAAAGGTACCGCCTGCCACCGCCATAGAGCCTGGGGTGGGGACAGCAATGGAGAAGACAGGTCAAAGGGGAGCAGAGAGTCACCCTGAGTGCCTCTTAGCTGCTGCAGGTTGTTCATGGGTGAGCAGAGGGCCACATGGTGGCGGGGAGGGCATGCTCATTCCATAAAGAATGAAGGCTGATGCCCCAGAGTGATGACGCGTGTTAGGACAATGAATTCATGACCTCCAACCATGCTTTCTAGGAGCTCTGGCTGCAAACCCCTCAGCTGCTCACCATAGAACACGATTGGTGTTAAACTTTGAATGTATCATACTGCTTGGGGACCTTGAAACATACTCTTTTTTTGAAATGATTTAATTCAGACCCTCTTCCCACCCTTCAAGTCCTGGTGTGGTGCTGTAGGCTAAGCCCTGGCTACAAGGCTGGCAGTTCAATCCCACCAGCTGCTCCTTGGAAACCCTATACAGATTCGCTCTGAGTCAGAACTGACTTAACAGCTCTTAACAACATCAACAACCCAGCCTTGTTCATGTTCTTGAGTCTACCCTCAAAATCAGCATTAGACCCACCTAAGTAGAAATAATGAGAAACTATAATCACCAATATTTGTGTGTGGTTAAAAATACCAGGGGGCTTCAAAACTTGGGTGGAAAATCTTGTTGTCTATTCATTCCATTTCCCCATGAAGCCTCCTTATGTATGTCCAACAAGCCCACTGCCTTGAGTGGATTGTGACTCAGTGGATAATAAAACACTTGGCTAGTTGTACAGCTTTTCTATGTACCGTCCAGGAACATTGGTGATGTTCATCCTGGCATTCATACGACCAGCACCATGATCCTTTCCCAGATTAGCCCACCACCATTATCAGCAAGTCACCCTGGTAACCACTGACGAGCTTTGTATTGGGCTAGTTCATGGACGAGCAGTTTTAACCACGCTGTCCTTCCACTTAGCCTAAGGTTCTCAAGGCTCCTCTAGTTTTGATTGGCATTCGAGAGAGAGGATGTTCTTGTGCCTCTTTCGGCCCTGTGAACAGGGGAAGTCAAGAACTTGGGGACAAAGCTGGCAGGGGCACCCTCTCTAGGCAGTGTCTCTGGCCCTGCTACCTTCTTGTCTCCCTTGTTCCCGTTCCTGCTTTCTCCCATCTCCAAGGTTTGTTGGCTTCCTCACATCTGTTTCTTCATGCTCTTTAGACAACACCCATATGCACTTTTCTTTTTCTTTTTATTCTGTATGCTCTTTCTCAGTTTTTTTTCTGTTCTCCTTTGCTTTTCTCTCTTCTGTTGGCATGTTTCTTTTCATATTCATTTTACTTATACTTGTTATCTTTTATTTATGTTATTTATATGTATTTATGTGTATATATGGAGTCGCTGTAGGATCAGTCCTGACCTGCTAACTGCAAGGCTGGAGGTTCAAACCCACCAGTCGCTCCTTGGAAACCCTCTACATTGAAAGCGTTTTCAGATGAAAAACCTGAAAAGGCTGTATTGTGTCTTCCTGTGTACTTTTGGAGTTTATTTAGAGTTTATGGCCAAACTGAACATTCTTGTTTCCATAGTGACCAAATAGAGAAGGAAAAGTGTAAACTGCCTCTGGGGGTGTTTGGAACTAATTGTATCCCATACATACGGGAGCGGCTCTTGCCCCCCTGGCCCTTGGCTCATCCTTGGGTTAGAGGGTCACTCCTTTGCTGGCCTTTCTGCTAACTGCTCACAAAGCTGAGAGCCGCTTTGGATACAAGGAAGGGACGCCATTCTTGTGTCATTAAACAAGCTTGTGACATTCCCACTCTGAACCTAAGCTAGGAGGTCCCCCTTCATGGAGGGCCATTTCTTTATGCCTGCCTTAAATAACCCCACCTCATTGTCCAGGTTGGCTAATTTTGCTTCGCTCCTTCTCTGCCCGGTCTTGGGCTGACAGGTGGCTTGATGAACTCCTGGAAACGCCGCTGGTGCGTCCTCAAAGATGAGACCTTCCTGTGGTTCCGCTCCAAGCAGGAGGCCCTAAAGCAAGGATGGCTCCACAAAAAAGGTGGGGGCTCCTCCACACTGTCCCGGAGGAACTGGAAGAAGCGCTGGTTTGTCCTCCGGCAGTCCAAGCTGATGTACTTTGAAAACGACAGCGAGGAGAAGCTAAAGGGCACCGTGGAAGTGCGGACGGCCAAGTACGTTGGGACGCCTCAGGGTGGCCAGCTGGGTGGCTCTCACGGGCTGCCTGTGTGATTCGGGTTTAATAGGCGGCCACTCTGGTAATAGTAGCTGACTCTGTTGATTATGGGCTGGATTAATTAATGTCCTTGGAGGACAGGCTAGAGCTGCCTCAGACGGTTTTCCAGGCTGAACTCTTTACAGAAGCTAACCGTCAGGCCTTTTCTGCGTGGGTTCAGTTAGCAGCTGACCACTTAACTACTGGCCACCAGGCTCCCCGATGGAAACACGCATGTTCCTTTATGAGCTCCAACATTTCTATAAAGAGGAGCTTTCCTGGATCAGCCCAATGGTCCTCCATGGAGCAGTCTGCAGGAAAGGCAGGAGAGATGTTTGATTCTTTCCTGGTTTCCAGAAAAACGAGCTTTCTGGCAATGACAGCTTTAGGCACTTGGTTTTCCACGTGTCATTCTGAGCTCGCAGAATTTAGCTGATTTGTTTTTGTTGTTGTTAGGTGCCATCGAGTTAGTACGGACCCATAGCAACCTTATACACTGCAGAATGAAACACGGCCCAATCCTGGACCAACCTCACTATTGTTGTCACACTTGAGTCCATCGATGCTGCCACTTGGCCAATCCATCTTGTTGGGGATCTTCTTTTTCTCTGACCTTACCAAACATGATGTCCCTTTCCAGTGACTGGTCCCTCCTGACAACATGTCCAAAGTATGAGAGACAAAGTTTGGCCACCTTGGCCTCTATAGAGCACTCTAGCTACACTTCTTCCATAACGGATCTCTTGGTTCTTTTGGCAGCCCATGGCACTTTCAATATTCTCCTCCAACACCATAACTCAAAACTCCTAAGTCATTTTCCAATCACCCCAGGAGTTTTTGATTTGCTACCTCTCAGTTTTCGGGTATGGTGAGATATACCCTACCTCTGGCCTGAAGGGATGCCCCAGTACCTGTCTGTGTTTTACAGAACATTTTCCAGGATTCTGATGGGCAGCTGGGGTTCCCAAACACGGCCTGAGAGCTCAGTCATGACGTCTCACCCACTCATATTGTTGTTGTTAGGTGCCATGGAGTCAGTTCCAACTCAGAGCCACCTTGTATAGGGTTCCTAAGGAGGGATTGCTGAGTTTGAACTGCAGACCTTGTGATTAGCAGTCCAGTGCCTATCCTATAGAACCCCTACCCAATCTTTTTACCTACCTCTCCAAAAAAAAGAAAAGACCTTTTGCCATCTACGGGGACCACGTGTGTTAGAGTCTTCTTTACTGTCATCCTCATAGAAGCTGAGTGCACACGTTTCTTCTGTGACACCACGCGGTGGGCTTGAAGCACCAAGCTTTAATTAGCTGAGGGCAAGCATTTTGCACCACCCGGGGACCCAGGATTAGATTTCCAGGCAGAAATACAACTCCTCGGGTTTCCCTGGGTTCTCCTCATACCGGACGCTGTAGTGCCCAACACTTCCACACATCACTGACGATCCCATCATATCATGTTCCTGCTCAGGAAAACATCACACACACCACAATTCTGATTTAAGGATTTCCTTTTTTTTTTTTAAGATAATCATGTCTTATCTCAACAACCGTAGCTAAAAGGTTGCACAGTATTATTGATTTCTCTCTAACCAGTTAAAATGTTGTTTTATTGATAGAAAATGCTAACTATAAACTGAAACCCAAACTGTGTGCTTCAGTTTTCAAAACAAGCTGGCTTTATCCCCAAGACCCTTTTCCTCGTTGTATGTAATACCAGGTGTACTCTAATTCTGGTGTGGCTCTGTAAGATCAGCACTAGACTGTGAACCATAAGGTTGGCACTTCAAACCCACCAGCAGATCCTCAGAAACACTACACAGGATCACTATGAGTCGGAACCAACTCAGCAGTATTTAGCAATAACAACCTATTTTGAACTTTGTGAGTCAGTGGTGTATATTGGGATGAGACTCACACCCAACCTTGTTCCTTTCCCCAAAGTCCCTCAAGGTGAAGCCCCCAGGTGGCATCCACAGTTAAGTGCTTGGCTGATAACTGTAAGGTTGAAAGTTCAAGTTTACCCATAAGTGCTTTGGAAGAAAGGCTTGGCAGTCTTCTTCAGAAAATTGGCCATTGAAAACCCTCTGGAACCCAGTTCTACTCTGGCACACATGGAGACTCCATGGCGCCTGGGTTTTTTTTTATTGGACGGAGTAAGTCTGGAGTGTGAATTGTGGTTAGGCAGCTGTGATGAACTAGAGGGAGCATGCTCCAGTCACGGGCACCCTCAGACTTTCCTTCCTTGGCAGCTTGGTGAGGGGAGAGAAAGGAAAGTACTGGCAGGATTTCAGATCCTTACATGGGGGTGCAGTGTATGGGTGTGGGCCAGTGTGAGACGAGAGGCCCCTCCCTGGAGAAGTAAGGAGGTGCCCCCAGCACTTTCTGCCCACATTTCTCCAGACTAGAAAGCAGAGAGGATCTGGCTCCCCCTACTGGACACCAAATCTTCATGAAAGAAATCCCAAAGTTGGGTGTACTCTTTTGCAGTTAAAACTCTCCAGCTTACTTGCTTGTTTCTTGAAACGGCACTTCCCCGCCACGGTTAAGAGTTCCGGTTCCTGATTGGTGTTGGCTGCTTCTGTCCCTTTGCAGGGAGATCATCGATAACACCAACAAAGAGAATGGGATCGACATCATCATGGCTGACCGCACCTTCCACCTGATCGCCGAGTCCCCCGAAGATGCCAGGTGAGGGACCACGCCATCCTAAAGTCACACAAGTCACTGTATGTCCTTGGGGCTTTGAATGGTGCCATAGATTTTCTCGCTGGGTTTCCATGTTAGGATGGACAAAGAAATTAGAGTTTGTAGGCTTTACGGACACCTGTGTTCACATATAGTACGTGGTTCAGGATTTCCTCCTCAAATGCCATCCAAGCCCATGTTATCATGGTATGGACTTATACTTAAGTCACTGAAAGCATTACGTCAGCTATACAGCTACACCCAGCTGAAAGGCCATGCCTCCTTCTGGAAGCATCTTTGTTTTGAAAGTGAACAGTTTGTATTTGCTTAAAGGTCTGAACAAGCGAGAGCATTAACTAATAGCTGTTTCCATGAGTGATATTACTATGGTGTTTAGAGTGTTTTAAAGATCTCAGTAAGGAACCCTGGTGGCACAGTAGGTAGGGACTCAGCTACTGATCAAAAGGTTGGTGGTTCAAAACTGCCCAGCTGCTGCATAGGCAGTGGTCTGCTCCCATAAAGGCTGCAGCCTGCAGCACCCTAGGGAGCACATCTACTCTGTCGAGTGGGGTCCGTGAGTTCAAAGTAGCTGGATGGCACCTAATAACAACACCTAATTAAAAACAACAGAGGTCTTTATATTGAGGAAGTAAATAGGACAGTGTTGTTGTTAAGTGCTGTAGAGTCGGTTCTAACCCATAGTGACTCTCTATAGGGTTTTTTAAGGAGTAGCTGGTGAGCTTGAACCGTCAACCTTGAGTTTCAAACCAACTTTGCAGTTCAGCGCTTTTGCAGTCCACAGCGCCACACCTGGACTCCAAATAGGATAGCAGAGATCATTAACACATCTTGTTAAGTGCCCGTCGATTCTGACTCAGCAACCTTGTATAGGGTTTAGAGGAACGGCTGGTGGATTTGGCCCACTGACCTTATGGCTCAAACTGGCATTGCAGTTCTCCTCTAACTCCATACCAGGACTCCAACACTTAGCTAAAACTTGCTGTTTGTCAGCCACTCGTCCAAAATCCCATCCAGGGTCTCTATGAGTCGGAACCAACTTGCTGGCACCTAACAACAACAGTATTCCAGGCAGCTTTCTAAAGCAACTCAGTCACTCCTCACAACAAGTCCTTTGGGTAGGTGTTGTTATTACTCCACACACACAGTTTCCAAGTTACAAGGTTGACCTGAAGAGAAAGGAGACTGTAAAATGTAATGTCGTTACAAGCTCAAACCTGTTGAGTAGACACAGCCCCCTGCTGATGTTTGTATGTTGAGAAATTCAGATGAGATTTTTGCCTGAGTTCTGAGGACAGTGCTCTTCGTTACTGGGGCTGGAGTATTGACTAGGTTTATGGCCTCAAGTTTTCATCTTCTCTTGCTGATGAAGCCTCCAGATACAGCACAACATTAAGAAAAATCACTGTTTCCTGTAGTGAGATCACCACTGCCCTCCGTGTGTTGTATTGCGGTGGCTTGTGTGTTGCTATGATGCTAAAAACGATGCCACCAGTGTTTCAAATTCTAGCAGGGTCACTTGCGATGGACAGATTTCAGCAGAGCTTCCAGACTGACACTAGGAAAATAGAATAGGCAATCCACTTCTGAGGGATTGGTGGTTGGTGGTTATGTGCTGTGGAGTCCATTCCGACTCATAGCAATCCTGACAGGGTTTCCGAGGCTGTAAATCTTTAGGGGAGCAGAAAGCCTCCTCATCTTTCTCCCTCGGAACAGATGGTAGTTTCAAACTGCTGACCCTGAGGTTAGCAGCCTGATTCGTGACCTTTTAACATCAGTGAAACCTGGTCTGAATAGTGCTTGAAGATGAGCCCGTAAGGTTGAAAGGCACTCAGAACAGGACTGGGGAAGGGAGCTGACTTCTTTAAAGAGAGTGGTTCTTACTGAGAAGGGAGCAAAGTGTTTGAGACCTTCGTTTGCTGATGAGGCAAGACTCGAAATAAGAGTGAGCTCCAAGTATCCATTAATAATCAGAAGATGAGGGTGTAGAGTATGAGTCTAATTTGGAAGTCATCAAAAATGAAATGGAAGGAATAAAGAAAATAAAGGAATGACACCCTAGACATCAGTGAGCTAGAATGGGAAGTACTGGCTGATTTGAATTAGGCATTCATATGGTGTACTGTGCTGGGAACCACAGATTGGCACATCACAAGTGGATGCAGCACTCCAGAGAACCTGTTCTGTTTGCCCTTGCTCCACTGGGACCTTTGTAGGGTTATGTTGAAAGTGCTGTCACCCACACTGAGCAACTCCGAGATCCCCTTCCAACATAGGAGAGTCACATCCTCAGGTCTGGATTCATTTCTCAGAAATTGTTAGAACACTTAGGAGCCAGCCCCTGGGTGGGGCTAACAGTTAGCACCCGCTAAAACTATGTGGGACCATGTCTGACTTCCCCTTCCACCTTACCACCTTCTTTACCCTCTTCTGACACCGACCACCCCTCTCACAGCACTGTCTGCTTCATATCTGGGCTCGATGATCCATGACAATGACTACACAGAACTCAAATACTCACAACTAACTATGGGGTTTATTAGGGAAGTGAACAGGATACAATTCAGGATCAAAACCACCTCAGGACACAGCAGTTCTCCAGCCAGCAACTCCTCTGCTCTGCCAGACTGCAGGCACGCCTCACTCTTGTCTTCAGCCTCTCAGTCATGTGGCCCCTCGGCCTCTGCCCTGCTGAAGCTTGTGTTACAAAGCTCTTTTAGCCAGACTGTGAATGCACAAAGGGAACATTCTTCAAAGCAGTCTCCTGCACGTAGACACCCAGCTTTACTCAGTCCATGGACCTAGAGTCCAAAGCTGTTCCGTCTCTCCATGCCATCACCTCTGCCATTGTCGTTTCTCTACGTAGGGATCTCAAGTTTCACTCACGCTCTTCCTTCTTGATGGTCCTAGGATCTTCTGTCTCTGCTTCTGAGATGGCTCCTTCTAGACCTAGCTGGAAGGCAAAACTAACCAATCCCAGCTGTAGAGTCCTGTATACCTTATTTGCATGGTCCCAGAATAGACACTGAAACTTGCTCTCCAGTGTAGAGATGCTAAAGCAAGTGGAAGAAATGAGGAGGTACCAGATCTGAACAGAAAATTTCAAAAGTCAACTCAAGAAGACAGAGTAACATATTATAACAAAATGTGCCAAGATCTGGAGTGAGAAAACCAAAAAGGAAGAACATGCTCAGCATTTTTTAAGCTGGGGGAACTGAAGAAAAAATTCAAGCCTCAACTTTCGTTATTGAAGGATTTTCTGGGCAAATTATTGAATGATGCAGAAAGCATCCAAAGAAGATGAAAGGAATACACAGAGTCACTGTACCAAAAGGAAATGGTAGATGTTCAACCATTTCAAGCGGTAGCATATGATCAAGAGCCAGTGATACTGAAGGAAGAAGTCCAAGATGCATTGAAGGAATTGGCAAAGAACAAGGCACCAGGAATTGATGGAATAAAAATTGAAGTCTTTCAAGAAAGAGGCGGCACAAGAGGCACTCACTCATCTCTGACAAGAAATTTGGAAGACAACTATCTGGCCAACTGATTGGAAGAGATCCATATTTGTGCCCATTCCAAAGAGAGGAGACCCCCAACAGAATGTGGAAATTGTCAGGCAATCTCTTTGATATCCCATGTGAGTAAAGTTTT